CTTTGAAGAACAGTCAACACTGTTAAGTGCTACAGAGTGATCAAGCAGGGCAAATGCTGAAAAGTGATCAATGATTACCTTTGAGGGAAGAGTTTTTGTAGAGTTTCTTAAAATAATAATAAAAAAAAAACTATCCCTCCTCCTACATAAGGTTAATCCATCACCTCTCCCTTCCTCTGGGTCTTCTTTCATTAACTATATCCCATACACTCCTGAATCTGTAACCTTTCCCTCTCTGTTGGTCCCTCTGCAACAAATACACATAGCTGAAACACCCTTTCCTCTATTCTCCACTTATAGAATTCCAATTTATCTTTCAGCTCATTGGTATCTCCACCGTGGATGTTTCTTAAGTGTCAGGTAAAATTTAGACCCCTTTGCTCTCCTGGACCCACATATCACTTTGTGTTTACTTCACTTTTAGGTCTTACCTGAACAGATTGAAGGCATCTATGTGTTTGTCTTTTCCACTATACTTGTGAGCAGAAGCTGTGCCCCAGTCACCTTATATTCCTAGTGCCAAGCATAGTGCAAGACACTTCATAGGACTCAATATAATCTTTTGGAAAAAAATAGCTATTTGGCTAAAAAATTAAAAATCTGCGTGAAAGCTCCTGTCCTAGAATGTTTCATTTAAGTTTATTTCTTGATTTCTAGTTCTAAAATATATTTTAAACTGGAGCTTTACTTCTCCATAAACTTTATAAAAGAATTAAACTTTGGAAGAAAAAAAATCATGCACAGAGTATTATCCTACAGAAAAAAAGAGAACAAATCTCATTGCATGTGGCATACTTAATATCATGTAATAAATTGTTAGCCAAAAGCATTACAAAAAATAAATGTTGAAATATAGATAAAAAAGAAGGAGTATATTCCTTTCACGCAAGGCAGTAGCTTTGCATATTAATGAAATTCAAATGCTTCACAGTAAGAAAAATGATTGGGATAGATTGCAATAACTTAAAAATAAATTCCCTTTAAACAGCCTCTTTGATGAATATGTGATTATGGAGATTAGTCAAAAAGGCTAGTCAGGCATTGTTCCACTCTGATGCTCCCAGAAGCACGGTGACTGATGGCCTTCAATTAACAAAGGAACACTGAGGGACAGGGAAAACTGAAGACACAAAGAAAGTCTACAGGTTGACTTTCTAAAATACACAAAGACACCAGTCCGGAAGGTAACAATTACAATTCTAGTAAGTGGGAGAATTAGGGGTGTGTATAAAATACTTTAAATATCCAAACTATTCTAGAGTATTTATTAAAAGTGAGAGAAAATAAAAGGAAACAGAAAAAGACAAATAGATGCATAAAGACAGGTGAAAAGTTTAAAATATTTGATGGCTTTTAATGAATTCAGAGACCTGTGGCAAATTACTATAAAATTTGGCTTGGCAAAGATTTTCTGTGAATGTTTTAGGCTGAGTGGGCCATATGGTCTTTCTTACAACTAGTAACTCTGCTTTTATAATACAAATGCAACTGCAGACAATAGGTAATTTAATGGGTGCAGCTGTGTTCCAATAAAACTGTTTGTAAAAGCACAGAGGACAGATTTGGCTTACAGACTGCAGTTTGCCAACCCATACTTTGAAACAAACTAGTTTGTGATAAAACATCAGATTGGCTGAAAGCTAGTATGTGAGTGACAATGTATGTGTGTATGATAAATAACTGTTGATTCAATAATTGTTGTTGAAGTTACAGTATGTTTTTGTTGCTCTAGGTCCCGTACTTACATAAATGTATGGCTAAGTGAATTAAATAGAGGCATCAGTGTTATTTCCAGTGACCCAGGTGATTGAAGGTGAAGCCATGTTTCACAACCAGAATACTAAAGAGTGCTTCTCAGTTCACCATATTCACGTGGGGTCTTCTAACACATAGACACTGATTTGGTAGGTCTGGGATAAGGCTTGAGATTTTGTATTTCTAACAAATTCTCAGAAAACACTGACATACTGCTCCATAGACCACATTTTGGGTAGCAAGGCACTTCACTTGCATGGTTTTTCAATGCCTAGGATATTGAGGTCTTGCCCCAGAGGTTAATAGAGTTGGCCTGGGATGTGGCCTATGAATTGAGACTTCTAAAAGCTTTCTAGGTTGTGCTAATGGGCAGCAAACCGTGAGAACATCTGTGGCAAAATACATCGTGATTTATCAATTTTTATGTTATCAGTAGCCCTTTTGCCCATTCTTCACTTCCAGTCTACCCATTCCTCTCCTTTTCAGGTGCAAACATCCAGATGATGGAAGGGTCAGGATTAGCATTTCATCATTTCACTCCTTCCAGCCTCTGAACGGTGGAATGTCGTTCAGGATGGAAGGAGGAGGCTCAGGCACCTGGGTGGGGGAAGAATAAGCACAAAGTGTCCCAGGGGGGTGATTTAAAGGGAAGGCAGGTAGAGACGAATGGGGGGTTACACAGACAGTTGTCACAGGAAAACTCACCTCTAGACTTGGGCCTGAGTTTGGGGCAGCAGAAAGAGCCATGTACCCTCCTGAGTCCTGGCAGCACCTGACAACTAGGAAGGATTTTTCCTTCCCCAGATGCAGGGGGACAGTTAGTTGAAATGCAAGGGAGACCTCCAGTGGCAAAGCATAGACATGAAGTCTCCCCAAAGCACGAACACCACAGAGGAACTGGGAAGCGGGCGAGACGACGATGGTGACAATGGATGGGGCTGATGATAAAGGAGGCTTACAAATACTACATCTGCTACATGTGCTAGGCACTACGGAAAGCATTTTAAAAACATTACCTCATTTGATCTCTCAGCAACCAAATTTTATGTTGATAGTTAACAGTTTAGAAAGTGGCCAGACTGGGATTTGAACCCAGGCAATAGAAGTTAAGGAAGGCTGTTACTGTATAGCTAAGCTTGTGTATATGTTAATAGTGTTCAAAGCTATCGGCAAATTTTAAAAAGACTCCAGCTAGCCATGTGATATTGATGAGGTATGCAAACCTGCAGTTTTTAACTTTTATCTTTGTAACCACAACAGGCACAGAGGAAAGGTGTGTTATGATTTCGCAGGCAGGGACCGCCTTAGGGTTTACATGGGTAGAGATTTCATGTGGTCCAAAACACTGGGTTGAGAGAGAGGCTGAGTCTTTAAAGGGAAATATAAGAAACAAACACCTATAATTTTCTTATGAAATCTTTTTTATTAACAGGACAGTAATTTGTTTCTACCCATAGCCATGAAGACAAGGTAACAGGCTAACTCCTCTCCACATCACGCAAGGAGAAAGCAGAGGCCACACGGAGGTTAGGAACAGGCTGATTCCGAGATAGACTGTGAGGAGACACAGGTGGCCACGGTCTGGAAGGAGGTCATGGCCCAGGTGGGGCCAGTAGCCACCTGGCTGTTCCAACACTTCAACTCATCCCCTAATGTTAGCCGTCCTGTGCTTGGGACTGGCTGGGCCATACTCTCTCTACACTATGCAGTGAGCTTATCCAGTCCCATGACCTCAAGGCATCTATGGCTGATGTCTCCCACGTGTGTATTGCCAACCCTGACATCCTCCTGAGCTCCAGCTTCAATTACTTGCATGACATCTCTCCTGGGACGTCTAACGGACATCTCAGATTTAACATGACGTGCCTTCCCCCACCCCTCGTGTCTCCCTGGAAATGTCCCCCGATTAATAAATAGCCACACCTTCAACCTGGGTGTTCAAGGTCAAACACGAAAGTAGATTATTTTTGTTATTTCATAACTCATTACTCACCTCTGGTCCATGAGGAAACCTCGTTGATTGGTCCACATCCACTAGAGCCTGTCTGTCTCCGCATTTCTTCAGCCTCCACTTCGGCCCAACCCCAGTTGTCTGTCACCTGGGCCAGCTGCAGTACGTCCTAACTGGTCTCCCAGCTTCACCTCTCTCCTGTCCTGCACATGCTTCAGAGCAGCCAGTCACTGGCCTAACATGCAGTGGGGTTTATTCGATTAAATATTTAATATCAGAAACTGACCCCCAGCCACCATTGTGTATTTTTCAGGCCTCTTACAGAGGTGTTTTTGGGGTACCATGTTGCTTTAAGCGAGAGAAATCACACCTGGAGGTACTGGAAGGGCAGTATGCATGCCCAGCGCTGGTGACTACAGGAAGTCACCCCATGTCTCTGGGAAAGCCAGAGCGATACTCAGGGGCATTATCACCGCAGCCCAGGGTGAGCTTGTCCAAGGTTCCCAACCAGCTACCTAGAATTAACCAGTAACATTTCAGGTACAGTGAAGACCCCTTTTCTTTTCATCTCTGCCTCATCCCAACCCCTTCATTTCTTCCCCAGAGGCAACGGCAATCCTGATGTTCAGGCTATGTTTCTATACATACCGTCTTTTCCTCTTTTTTCTCCATTTATTTATTTATTTATTATGTTCTTCATTGTTGACTTTTATACTTTTGCCATGCACATGCACTCTCGTTCACCAGGGCCCCACATCACCCCACCCGCATATACCACATTCTTTGTAAGAGGAAGATTAATCCTCCGTTCTCCAGGGTCCCAGGGAATATCCCCTCCCTCCATCCAGGGTCCCACGGAATACATCCTCCGTCCATCCACGGCCCCTGGGAATACCCTCTCCCCCCATCCCGGGTCCCACGGAACACGCGCTCCCTCCATCTTTGGAGTTTCCGAGCTGTACTTGATTGGGGCATGGGTGAGTGGAGAGACTCCTGCTTACCTGTCTTAAATCTTAAAAGGCGTGGATTTTGCGCGTGCGCGCGCAGGCGCACACGCACACGCACGCGTACGCACGCACCCGCACCCACACTCACACCCCACACCCACACCCACCCCCCCCCATTGAAAACACCTTTATTTATTTAGGAACCAATAACTTTACTGGAAGAAGTGGTGAAACTGGAACATAAAAACTGAAGCGACCGTTTTGCAAGGGCCATAGAGAAACGGGCATGTTCCACACGGTGCCCCGGGGAAGTGACCCCGCGGCTATCGCGGGAGGCAGTCCAAGGCTCAGTTCTTGCTGCCGCCCAGGGTGAGCCTGTCGAAGAGGTACTCGGCCAGGCCGGATTTCGGGGCTCCCACCTTGCGCAGCTTGGTGACGTGGTCCCCCAACTCTTTGACGCACATCGCCTGTTGGTGCAGGTAGTGAGTCTCCAGGACACCGCACAGTTGGGTGTCCCCCTTCTGGGTGGCCAGCTGGTGCAGATCGAGCAGCCTCTGGTTCACCACCACGGACAGGTGCAAGGCGCACTCCAGGGCCTTCAGGCCGCTCTCCCAGTTGTTGCGGTCAGGCCTGCTGATGTTGCGCAGGTGGATTTGGCCCCCGCGCTGGTTCTGCAGCTGCATCAGCCTCTCCGCGTGCTCCTTCTCCTTGCTCGACTGCTGCAGGAAGAACTCGACCAAGTGCCTGAGGCCTGCGCCGTCCAAGTAAGACGCCATGGACGCGCACACGTAGGAGGCGTAGAGGTGCAGGGTGATCTGGTAGTTGACGGCGGCCTCGCAGTCAGGGTGGTAGTTGTCAGGCACGGCGGAGGTCCCGGACGGGGTCTCCATGTCTCTATGCGTAGGCTCAGGCACGGGGCAGCGAGGCCAAGGCGGCGAGGCAGCGGGGGCTGCGGGGCGGCAGCGGCGGGGACGGCAGCGGCAGGGGCGAGGGTGGAGGCTGCAGGCTCTCGGGGTGCCCTGGCACTGGGCGACCCGGGCGGCCGGAGTTTGAATCTAGGGCGCAGGCAGTGGGACTTCGAAATGTTCCCTCCTGGAACCGGGGAGGAGGACACCTGCAGGACTGGCGGACACCTGCAGGACTGGCTGTGCGCGGCACCGGAAATGGGGTCTGTTGCTAGGTGGGGGCAGGGATGGAGGCAGTTTCCTGGGGGGAGGGGCGGCAGCGCGGTGTTCGAGGTTCTGTCAGAGCCTGACGAGGCCCAGTGACTTAGTGCTGAGCGCCTAAGTTTTTAATTTGGCAATATTTCTATTTTCAAGAACTTTCTAGTTTTCTAGTGACTTCCTTTAATAGCACCGTGTTCTCATTTTATAAATACAGTTTCTTATTATTTTGAGAATATTGATTTGGATTTTTTGGTATATATTTCTCATCTGTTTGCTCATCAGGATGTTATCTTTGAGTTTCCTGTAATACTGAATACTCTGTGCCTTTGTATTTAGGAATAAGGTACACATTTGATTAGCTTAGGTGATTAGTTTGCATCTGATCTGCAGTTGTAATGTCCAGTTCAGTAACAGACTTCTGTCTGGTAGAGCACAGCCTGTTGATTAGGGAGTAGTATTCTATCTTTGAGACCCATGTCATAGAGTTTGCAAATAAGTTAGGGACTATCCCAAATTCCAAAAACTAGGTATTTTTCTAACATTGAAAGTCTTCTCTGTATCTCTCTTGGAGGAAGATGTATCCATTTGTTTTGTTTCCCTTTTGTTTTGTTGTGTTTCTGATATAGATTCCTTTCTTGAATCTTTGAATGACATAAGGGCAATAATCCACCATTACCTGTACCGCCAGTGTGCACTGGAGCTCGGTAAGAACAAAAAATAAAAATTTAATGTGTTAAGCCAGTAAGACTCACATGTTACAGCAGTTAGCCTATCCTGACTAATTACCTAGTGAAAGGAACTTCTGGACCAGCACAGATTAACAATCTCCCCAACCCCCTTTTATTTCCTCTTGGTAGCACTGCAGGTACAAAAGAAGAGAAGTATAGTTAACCAAATAATTATGCCGCATTTCTCTTACTCCCTTTTATTCCCTCAAGGACATATGAGGAGCGAGGGATGTTTTTCCATTCCCCTCACTTCTGGAAAACAAAATGAGGCTGGTCCTGAGGTGCGTGACCTTAAACTAACAACAGAAGGCACAAGGGGCAGCGACTGTGACTGGCCGTCCCCTGAGCCAGTCCGCGGTGGTGGGGAGATGTGGGTCGTGAAAGAACAGGGGGCGCCCATTAGAAACACATAATTGGTGGATGTGTTGGTGTATGTGTTGGTGTGGGGTGGTTCCCCAGAAAAGGAGGATGCTGTTCCAGAGCTGGTACTGGGGCTAAGGAGGTGGCACAGGGCACAGCACCATTTAGTCTTCCCTATTGGACTGTAAGGTCCATACAGCTAGAGTGATCCCATGTCTGTGTCTGTCTGCCCCATCATACAGCATGCCGGACGCTTAGCACATAATTAAGTCTCTGAGCAGCTCTTCACCTTTGGGAGAGAGGAGAGGCAGAGAGGAGCAACGCAAGCGGGCTCCAGAAGCAGAGGGCAGCCTGTGGGAGACATCTGCGGGGAACGGAAAACGGCTCCAGCTCCCACGGAGAGAGGCCAAATGCCGTCAGGCAGAGTCCTCTGGCAAAGCTCTGGCGGAAGCCCAGGGCTCAGGAGCCTGGCCACAGCGAGCAGCCAGTAACTAAGGTGACCAGGGTGCCAGTCCCAGTTCTGTCACCGCATAATAATTGAGCGATTTAACGAGTCCTTACCAGGCTTGGTGATTTCCTGTACTGTCGCTCATCCTCCCAATTCTGTGAGATAGCTGTTGTTTTTATCACCTCGCCTACGAGGAAACTGAAGTCCAGAATATAAGTTACTTGCCCAAGGTGATAGGGCAAGTGGGTTAAAGTCAGGGCTGACTCCCAGCTATACCCCTAGTGACATCAGTCCCCGCTTTGATGAAATGGGGTACAAACAGGACACTGGGTGGCGTGACTCCTTGGGGCCTCTCCCAGCTTTAAGTAACGTGAGAGCCAGAGGTGTGGCCACAGCAGCAGATCGCTGTTAGGGCTCTGCAGCAGCCACACAGTAACCTGCCCCCCGCCCCCCGCCACTGCTCTGCCTTCCAGGCGCTGTGCTCACCTTCAAGGCCCAGTTCCTCCTACTCAAGGACACACCACAGTCTGTCCTTGCTCAGTCTCTACTCGGAAATGAGTTTAAATACATTTTAAAAATCCTAAAGGGCCAGAGTTTGGAATGGAACAAAACTTCTCCTCCGTGGACTGACAAGCCTCTGAGCATGGCAGGATGAGGGAGCGTAGGTGCTGTGTCACTGGCCTGATGGGCTGGCTAACAGCTCCTCCCCCCAGCCAGTTGAGTTGTGTTTGGTTTACATTTGTTTACATTTTCCTGGTCTTATGTATAGGTGACATTTCCATATATGGACGTTATCTTCCATACTTCATGGGAGACCTGCATATCTCATTGTCAGGGTAGAGAAGAGATTCGTGTTGCCTTTCCTTGTAGTACTAAAACTGGTTTTGTAAAATGTTACTTAATCTCCTTTTCCAAGCTTGTTGCTCCTTGTTCAATTCAGCTAATAACCATTGCTAGCTATTTCAGTATGCTATTTACAACAAGAGTATAATTTTGTGAGGTCTCAACAATATTTTCTTCCTCTCAACTGTGTCGTGCACACAGAATAGGTCCCACATAATTGCTTAGTGGATTCACTAAACTGATACCTAAAATGTGGCCCACAATTGCTCACTGCCATTTCTGAGTCTAGGGGTAGAGGATGAGGGTGTGTTGTTAAACAATTATCATGGTCTGCCTTCAGCATTTACTAGCCACCAATAGACTCAAACTCAGTTCTTACAGAAATGAGCTCAAAGAACAGTAGGGATCATCATTAGTCCTTAGTGCTCTTCTGACAGTTATTTTATGATTCAGCACATACAGTTCAAAATCCAATACCTCAGCTGCACTTTTAATTCTAGAAGAAGTTCAAATGATTCTTCTGTCACATGTGGCCAGAGACAGTGACTCTCTTGTGGAGACTTCTGGTCTATTAGTGACCTCAGAGACCACTTCTGCTTATCACATGACCAGTGTCACCCAAGGAGGAGGGTGGGAGAACTGCCACAGGAGGCAAATGCACAACAGAAGTCCTGATGGTGGGGGCTGCTCTACATAAGGGAACCACATCTTATTTACATCCTAGGATCATTTGCAAAAGTGATTGAGGGAACTGGGTTATCCTCTAAATAAATAAGTTTGTACAATATATCTTTTAAATAAGAAAAATATTTCCACTCCCCTGTAACATTTGTTTATTGAGTAATATAGCACAATTGTCCTAATCTTTCGGATGTAGACCTTGGTATAGAGAGTGAATAGCAGGGCAGAGGGCAGTTTCAAAGTTATTGCAAGTGGCCCTCAAATTCATATATTCACTAAGCTTTGTCAGAGGGATGAAAAATGGCTCACAATTTGCATGAGTATATACATGCTCATGTGATTATGAAAATACAAATTTATTTAAAAGTTGTTGCAGGCAGCTGCCCATATTCTATAGGCCTACCCTGAGATCACCTGAAGATAGTCCCAGTGCTCTGTGCCTGAGAGTTTCCTCTGTCTCCAGGAGTGAGCTCAGGTCACATAACATCAGACGTGCTGGGCAGTTAATGTCCACAGGAACAACCCTTAAACAAGGAGGAACAGTCATTGGTACATAAATACTCCAGGTTCTTTGTCATGGAAGGGACAATTCTGAGATGTGTACTTTATAGGCTCTCTCAGACTACCCAGTGGGATTGAGCCCTAGTTGACTACAACAACAGCCTGCTCATTACTTTATTCTATATTAGATTCTTTCCCTTCCCTGCCTCACTTCCTCATTTCTCTATTGTGTTTCTTGTAGTCACTTCCTAAACAAACCACTTGCAATCAAATTCTTGTTTCAGGGGTCTGTTTGGGGGAACCCTAGGACAAAACCTTACTTATTACTAGTAAATTTTCAATTTAAGGGTCTTAATAATTAGATATTAAAGTATTATTCTTTATTATGCTGTGTTGAGGAATATGAATCTTACTTTAGCTTTCAAAAAGGTCCTTACACATAGTAAAATTGGAAACACGGTTTCAAAGAAAAGTAAGTATTTGGTCCTCATGATTGTCCTTGTACCAAAAACTTTTTTGGACATGCACTTTAATAATACCTGGATGTCTCTGCTTTTGAGTGTTAGGCAATTAACTTTCCTTTTAGAAACAGACATATAACTATTTATACCATAAATGTCATTGAGGCAAGATCACCATTATATCAACAACACCCAGAGCAGGGCATGGAACACGGTGACAGGTCAGTATTAGATATTTGCAGTATTTAATATTTACAATCACCAAGATTTGGAAACAGCCCAAAGACCAATCAATGGATGAATGGATAAAAAAGCTAGGGTATCTTTGAACGGAGCACTACACAGCAGTAAAAGAGAAGGAAATTTTACCTTTTGCAACAGCATGGATGGAACTGGAGACTATTATGCTAAGTGAAATAACCAGACAGAGAAAGACAAGTACCATATGATCTCACTTATAACTGGAATTTAAGGAAGAAAATAAACTAATGTGCAAAATAAAATCAAAGGTGTAGAAATAAGGAACAGACTGACAGCTGTAAGAGGGGAGGAAGGAGGTGGGGACTACTTGAAAGAAGGTGAAGGGATTAGACAAAGAACTTATATGCATGACCCATGGACACAAATTATGGGAGCGGGTTTGAGGAGAGGGGGGCAAAGGGGAAAAATTGGGGCAACTGTAATAGTATAAACAATAAAAAT